CGATGAAATGATTGTGAATTAATGAAGAGTGAAAAAAATCAAACAAATTTTAGCCTGAAATGAAAGTTTATTTAACTATCCTCAATTCTAAAATAAGGAATTTTCAGAAGTTAAAGTTAAAGCTTTTAATTGTAATTAAATTATATTTCGAAATTTTTTTTTTTTTTTTTACTATGCAAAAATAATTTTTATTTTATTAGGATATGTATACAGACGCATATCCTTACTTTAAAAAGTTTTATTTGACAAATAGTTTTGTTTTTCAATTGCTTTGTGATTCAAATACCACAAATAATTATTTTAATGATTTATACTGCATTTATTAAGCAATGCTGAAAAGTTTATTAAATATTTTTCCAGAAACATTAATATTTGTTTCAGTAGAATTAAAAAGAATTTTAATTTTACTGCACAAGTTGTCTTTCGATATATTTTTCACGTAATTTTAGTAAATATATTAAAAGGCTTGCAATGTAAAAATAGTTTTGTGATGTTTCTCAATCACGCTAATTGTTTTAAATCTTCTGTGAAACATAAAAAAAATATTTTTTCAAAATTAGCTTTTAAACAATTTCGTATACGGACAAATTTCAGAATATTGTTTAACCACTATAAACTATTCCCCTGTTTGAGTTGATTTGTAGTCTTGAAAAAATACTAGAGGTTAAACAGCCACTAAACTGATTGGTTGGTTACATGCAAGTACGTTTCTGATAATTACAACGTAATGAATTTTATTCTCACTGATCAAAGTTAAGCTGTTTTTTTTTCAATAAATTCAGATCAATAAAATCTTCTAATTTTCCGAGTAATTTTTCTCATTTGTCCTAGATCAATAAAATTTTCTCATTTAACAAGTAATTTTTAAATTTTTTGTGATATTTCATAATTGCACTAAATTTTTTATAAATTTCCTTAAAACATGAAAAAAAAACGTTTCAATTTTAACACTCAAAGAGTTTCTCATATAGGCGAATTTCAGATAATTTTTTACCACTACACACTATTTACATGTTTGAGTAGAGTTGCAGTCTTCAGAAACCAGTACCAGAGGTAAAAATACCACCATTCCTTGAACTGATTTGTTGCTTGTACGAAAGTATGTTTTTGATAATTACCACGTATTGTATTTTATTCTCATTGATTACAAATAAAGAGCGAGAAATATATTTTACTCAATAAAATCTTCTAATTTTTCTAAGAAAATATAAAAAAGAGAATGAAGTTTGCATTCTTTTGAGTTTTTGTGTTAATTTATTGTTTAATGGTCTGAATTAATATCTTTAAATCTTCTTTAAAGCTCTTAAAAATATATTTCAAATTTGTATTTCTAGTGGTTCTGAAAATTAACAAAGATGGGATAGTGTTTTAACTCTTTTGAATTGAGAATAAGTTTTCAAAAATTATTATTTAAGCTTAAAATGCTACCAATGATTAAACTGTTTGGTTTGTTACACGCGAATCTACATTAGATTTCTCACTAGTTATTTTCAAACGATCGATATTCAAATAATCATCCAATTTTATTCATATTGGCTGTAATCTTATACATTAATCGTTTAGATTATATTATTAGATTTTTTTTATATAATTATGCAATGAAAGAAATTAAATGTGTTATGAAATGACATATATTTCAAGTTGCTTCAAAATAATTTTCGTTGCCTTATATACTAAAAAAGAATCAGGAAATTGAAATGGTCCTCAAAATCCATTGAATGAAACCTTGCAAAAACAAATATAAGAAAATTAATTTTTTTCGACATTAACGGAACTTCTGGTACATTTTAATCAAAATTATTATTAAATATACTTTTTATAAACAGCTTTGATTTTAAAACATTAAAGTTTTTAACATTTAAAATATTTTCCACCGCCAAAATGCAAATGTCTCATCTCTTCATAGTAATGTGAGGAATCAGATATTCAAAATAATGCTAAAGCCATAGAAAAAGAACCAAAATAATTTTTATTTCCTTTTGTAGTCCATTTAGAAATAGTCTATTAAATATATTTATTTTTTTATTAAATAGCATTTAATAGTTTTCTGAATAGTTAAATAGTTTTCAGAAATATGCGCATAGAAATCGTTAATTTTAGTAGGAATCTTTGGGATAAAATGTTTCAAACTTTATTATTACAAATACCGATCCAAAATATCAAGTACAGAATTATTTAAACACATACAATTGTATACACAATTTTACGTAGGGCCTCTATCGTGTCAGCAAACAATGGCTTTAATACACATCTATGTCATGTATGCAGGGAAGTAATGGTGACTATTCGGAGTTAACCGTCCATTGGGAGGGACAACAACAATTGCTGAAATTAGCAAATGTTATTATAAAAGATACTAACTGATACAGACGTCACTTGAAATGGAATGCAGGAGAATATTCTTAGGGATCTAAAACTTTATACGGAAAAATATTTACGTTAAAATTGTGCTTTTATAAATATTTTCGTGTAATAAAAATGTAATACTGTACAAAATGTAATGTTTATCGAGGCTTTTAGAATTGAAGATGTAATTTTATATTACTTAAAATCAAGTAAAATATGTTTTAAATCAAAAATAATAAGTTATCATGAAATGTTTCAAAAGTTCTTTACAAATGTATTTACTATGTAAAACAATAAATTTGAGATAATTAAATCTACTCTAACTAGCAAGAAAAATAAATTTATAATTTAATTACTATTTAGTTGAGAAAAATGTGTGTTAATTTATTAAGAAGAACAATTCTTAAAATTAATTATTTTAATGATATTGAAATGAGCGACGAAGATGTGCTACGAACAAAAGATAGTTCGCATTAAAATAATTAGGAAGTTTTGCATTAGAGAAAATTTAATTTTCTTTAATACAAAATTTTCTTAAAGAGTTTAGTTGTTTGACAAATTTAAAAAAAATATTGCTTCCATGAAATGTTTCAAGAGTTGAAATTAACAAATTTGTTTATTATGTAAAAAAATTAATTAAAGACAGTTTTGCAAGATATAGTCATAAAAAAAAATTTATAATTTATCCATTAATTAGTTAATATAAACGTATGATATTTAACTTATTTAGAAAAACAATTCTTGAAATAGTAACTTTATTTAAATGAGATAACAAGTGATGAAAATGTGCAACGACATTTGATAATATTTGAAGAAAGATAACTTGTATTTTTTTAATATTTTAATGACATTGATAGAAGTTAATAAAGAGTGTAACCTTGATCCCCCAACAGCGTGATCTATCGTTCTCATACGTTTCGGTATCAAAGAAACGATATCGATATTGATATATATCGATAGATTTTATTGATAGCATTGTATCAATAGATATCATTGTATCGATAAATTTTATTGATAGCATTAAAATGTTATACTTATAATGTTAATAATAACAGTCTAATTATTTCCGAAATTTCAAATTCCAGCATTACTCGTTCAGAAATTGTTTCGACATTTTACAAAAACAAAATGTTGAAGTTAATTCGTTTTGAGAAAAAAGAAGAAAAAAACCAGCAATTCCAGATGCTAGTGATAAAGAATTTCTTTTCAAAATTGCGGTCTGTGGATGGATGGTGTGTTAAAGCGTCCTCTTGTAAAACGGGCTGTGACGCATGTGTTTAGAAGGCGAACTCTTGACCATAGATGGCGTCACTAAAAACAAAAAGAAGCGCACCTCTCTGCCTTGAAATAGGTTTGCTGGTATTGACAAGTGGTATAAGACAACAGCAGCAATTATGAAGAAAATGAGGATCTGTTACAGTTTGGTTAAGCCATCTCAAACAACGCGTTTAAAGTTTAGTTAACAGTTGAGAAAAATATTGAAGCTCGTGGTGTTGTCGGTAAAAATTTGATTGTCGGCAGAAGATTGCGCTAAGTGTATTAGGTCTCGAAACATATGAAAGAACGAGGACCTTTCAGTATTCATCTGAACATACTGAAAATAAACAGGAATTCTTTAAAAATTGTCGAAAATGTATTGCTTGATTTCAGCTTAAAGCAAATTTACAAATATTTCTAATAAACTAATGTGTTTTTTCAACTGTCTTATGTATCATAAATACTTTAGCATTAAATACAAAAGGATTAAGTTTTTTTCTTCATATTTTAAATTTATTAATTTTTATGTTCATATCTTTGTTATTACTTTCATACGATTTCAACTCATATCTTAATATTTTAAGTCTACCCACATTCGTCATTTTCCTATAGTTATTTTCCTCAAATAATGGTCCCTTGAGAAAAGATTGATCAATTTACTATTGTTTTCCGGTGGATATTCACAAAGATCGATATTCATTTCATTATTTCTTTAAATTCAACAATTTTTACGTCTGCCGTGAATGCATATAAACTATTTATTCATTTTTATAAATATTATGAATACTTAAATAAATAAATACAGCTAACATAAACATATAGGTAAAATTGGTATGTGGCATTACACTTATATTTGGTCAAAACTCTTTACTTTTTACAAAATAGTAATTATTGCCCTTAAAATTTAATAACGTAAGAAAATGTTTATTATATATTTAAATAAATAAATACAACTAAAATAAAGACAAAGATAAAATTAATATGTAGCATTCCATTTATATTCCGTCGAAGATCCTCACTTATTACGCAATATTAATAATTGTCCATAGAATTAAATGACGTAATAAAATATTTAATATTACATATTTCAAGAAATGAATGCAGCTAACATAGATATATAGATGGAATCGGTATGTAACATTTCATTTTTGTTTCGTCAAAAGCCCTGATTCATTATATAGTATTAATTTTTGTGCATAGAATTTAAAAGCGTAAACAAATGTTTAATATTACATAGTTAAATAAAAAAAATGCAGAAACATATGCATAGCATAACCATATAGATGAAATCATATGTTACATTCCATTTACGTTTTACCAAAAGAAACACTTATTACATAATTTTAACTATTGTTCATGAAATTTTAATAACTTAATCAAAATGTTATTTTTTGCAGTTCCTCCTGGAGAGCCAGCAATCTTAGATGAAGAAGGTGTCCAGGTTAAAGGAATGATTGGTCCGTATAATGAAGGAGATTCCTTGCTCATAATATGTGAATCCATAGGGGGTAAGTGTAAATAAATTAAATGTCAAACTACTTGCCAAACGCGTCAATTAAATTTTCTATTGACGAAATCTTGCATGATATCGATTCTTTGACATTGCCTTCAAGAATAGTTAGTTTCAATTTTATGGTATTGTTTAGATTTTTTACTTATTCTACTCAAGTAGGAGTTCAAAAATACATATCCCGTCATTTTGTATATTTTGCAATATTTTACTAGCGTTTTGTATTTTAATTGGCTTATCTTTAGTTAAGAAAACTATCTTTTAGATTGGTGCAGCTTGTATATGAAGAGGTATATGTTTCTTTAATTATAGTTGAAATATCGATAATGTTAAAAAAAAGAATTTTTTCTTTGAAAAAAAATAATTAGTAAAAATTAATATGAAACCAAACGCTATAAGCGAAAAAGAAGTATCACTTAAATAATGTTAAAAAATTATTTTGCTTTGCTCGTAATTTCATTGAAGATTTTTTTCTAGCGGAATTTTATTTAGTAAACTAGTTAATGAGTTATGATATTTCTGAATAACAACAATTTTAAACAGAAATAATTTTATGTAATATAATTATTTGATATTTTTTTAATAACTTAAGAAAATTATTTACAAAATTCTATCAACAGTTTAGAATGTAGAACAAACGAACAACCTTAAATAAATTATTACTTCCTTTTTGTTTAAATAAAAAAATAAGAATAAATGCGTCAAAACCTAGACTTTTTCTCTTTCTTTTTTTAAAAAAAGAAATTTTGCAAATCCTCATGGTATATATAATAGTGTGTCTTATTTATTATTTTTTTCACCATTCTCAAAATATTCTATTTATATCGTAATTCCTAATTAATTCCATAGTTACAAAATTAATGAACTTATATAATATTAACTCTAATTAAGAAAGTTTTTTTAAACCAATTAAGTTGTTTAACTAAAAAACAAATTAATTTATACAGTAACTACTACAAATACTTTACTACTTTCGTTTTTGTTTTCCTTCACTGAGTGGGGTATTTTTTTAAGTCAGTTTTTCATTTTAATAGATAATTAGGTTTTTAATTTTATAACAAATATTTTATTTTTCAGAGATAAAGATCGTTAGATGTTTAATTGAGAGTTCAATTTTTTTCAAAATTTAAAACATGTACATAATTTTCAATATTTGTATGAAACGATTATCTATTGCTGAACTTCGTTAAGGTATTGATTATATTTCTAACTCTTTCATTAAATTTTTATCAAATAAAAACTGGGATATACGTATTAAAGGCAGAAATACAGTGGTATGGTAGCAGCCCCAACCTTAATGATTGTAAATTGGGGCATTAAAAGCACCTCAAATATCACAAACGGCAACTAAATTCTTAAAAACAAACGGCAGTTATCTTTGTTCAAGACTTACATTGTTTCTCATTTACAATCTCGTGCAAAAATTAAATTAATTTCATTTAGCCATATACCATATTGGATTTTTCTCGTTTCGAAGATATTAATTCGCACGGAAAAAGAAAAATGCACACACTTTCTTCAGTTACCCCACTTTTTTAAAACTTTGTGGAAACCTGCTTTGTTACTTACACGTCTTTCTACCTTTCTAGATTTTTTATTTCAAATTTTGTTTTCAATATCTTTTACTACCTTTACACATGCTTCCTCTTTATTCACCTTTCCTACTTCTATCAGTTCTATTTTTCTTACCATTCATTAATTAAATGAAATAATGCCTTGAAAAACTTCCAATGGGCTTAGTCTTGCCTCTTTACTTTTAATAAAAATATACATAAATACACAAGTGGGCGACCTTTGTGCTAAAATAAAGTTATTCAAAATTGTTCTTCAATTTTTGATTTAGATTTTTATGAGTCTTATAATATTTTTAAAAATTCCAAACTGTTGGTCAATGACCTATCCAGCGTTCTTTATCTTTCTCCAGTTTGGAAATCTAAGATTAAACCTAACTAACCCCCCCTTTTCTTGTTCCTTGCTTCCCATTCATCGTCATCCCTTCACCCTTCCCTCCTATTGGCTGTTGCTCTAACGTCACCTTTCTCTATATATTTTACCCTATTTTCTCTCATTTCTTTCGGTTGCACTGATGAAGGTTGCCCTTTGAGCATCTGAAACAGCTGTCTGCATTTAATAATATTTTTTGTGCTCTTTAACGTTGTTTACCTTAGTTTGAAAAATATACATAATTTAAGTTTTTTGTGTAATAATAATTATTATTTATTGTTGAATTTTGTGAGTATAATATGCATTATTTGCAGGCTCATTGTGAATAGAGTTAAGTGAAACGAGTATGGAAATTTGAACCAAATTCACTTCAAATTATTTGCTTTTAAATTTTAGCTCAATGATATCGTTAAGACTGACATAAATATATTTCATCACGATATAAAACGTTCAAATCCTCGTTGAATTTTAAAGACAAACGGCAGTTATCTTTTATTCAAGGCTTCCGTAGTTTCTCAGTTACGATCTTCTGCGAAAATTAAATGAATTTTACTTCCCCGTGTACTTTATTGGCTTTTTCTCATTTCGCTGATTCACTCGCACGGAAAATGAAAAATACACACACTTTCACATCTTCGGTTACCCCGCTTTTCGTAACTTTGTGAAAACCTGCTTCGTTACTTACACATCTTTCTCCCTTTCTAGATTTTTTCTTTTATTTTGTTTTCACTATCTCTTACTGCCTTTACACATACTTTCGCTTTACCCATCTTACCCACTTCTATTCATTCTATTTTCATTATCTAAGGATACTCCTTTAGAACATTTTCCACTTGGTTTCTCCTGGTTCTAACGCTGCGACAAGAAACCTTCTGTGGAAAGTTTGGGAAACAGGGATGCTGAGGTAATTGTTTGGGCGAGAAATGTAAAAGTTAGAGTGGTCGTTTCGAAATCTTTAACGTTAGTTTCGAATTTCGAGTAAAGTAGACCACCCGGTGAGGTAAAAGGAGAAAAAAAATGGCTGGGATTAGTGTGATGGGAGACGACTAAATCTGAGAGTTAGTTGGAAGTCGCTGTAAATCTGCGATTCTAGAACTATTTTCTGAATAAATCGGAATCGTAATTGCTTTTGTAAATTTGAGAAGTGAAGCAGAAAATTGATGTTTTATTATATTACTTTGGGAAGCAATAAAAGATACCATAATTTTGGAATTACGCTTTGTGGATGTTTTGTGTTTTTATTTTTGAGACTTTTGCTTTTAAAGTTTTGCCTTTTAAATGGTATTCAAGCAAAAAGCTTTAGTAAAATTTTGTAGATGAATACTTGTGAGATTTTCTTAATTTATTTTATTACACATGCTTCTATCAAAATTTACATGATGTTGATAAGTGTCTTAATGAGCAACATCACTAGAGAAGAAAAAAGAACATAATTATAAGAGAATTCTACATTCCATTTAAACTATCAACTAAGTATTCCGCATTCGTTACTTAAACGTTTATACCCTCTTTTTTCTTAAAAATTTAGCCTCAAATACGATGTAATTTAATGTCTTTGTTCGGTCCAGATACCTAATGGCGGAAAATAAAAATAAAAAATAACTGAATCAATATTGATAGAAAAAAATGAAGCTATATGTGCAAAAAAAAAATAAAATAAAAAAAAATTAAATTTATTCCACGAATTTTGATTGAATTATAAAATTTGTTTTATTTTGAATTTGTATAAGTACTTTTGTGCACAATACATGGATTGGAACCTGTTCAAGTTGACCACTTGTGTTAAATAGCTTTTGTGGTCAACTTAGCATTGTAATAAACATTTGTTTTTTTCTAACTTTTTATTTTTTACATAACTTATAGTTATTTTATTTATATTGAGTTGAAAATACAATTCATTTTAAAATTCACTTAGTTTTAAGTTGAGACTAATTATCAAAATAGATATTAATTTACTAGTTAGTTTGTATTAGAAATTGCAAAATTAAAAATAATAAATTATAAAATAAAATTATTTTGTTTACTTACAGACTCGATATTTATTATATTGATTTACTTAAAATATCAGTTTTCAGGAAGTGCTAATCATCAACTATTGGTGGTTTATATTACTTTTAAAATTTTTTTATTATGCTTTCAAAACAAATGCGCTGCCTCTTACAAAGCAAACAAAAAGCTCCGAAAATTTCTCTTAATGATCAACTTCACAAGCTATTTTGGTTAGATTTATAATTCTATATCACCAATTCAGAGAAGTTCCGCTAAATAACATAATTGTATAAAAATAATCCTTTTTTTTTGCCAATTCTTAGAGAGCTAAAAATAGTGTTCTATCACACTATTAGAGACGTTTAATTTATTTCAGCTGTTAAAGTATAAGATAGAAAAGTAGTCAAGTTACCCAGCTTTCACTTTCTTTTATTATAAGGAATACATTTGGTCTTTGATAATGGAGGTCTAATTACAAGGGTTGTCACATTACAAGGGTGATCACTTTACAACTTTCACTCTAATTTTATCCCACTCATCCTAAACAACTTATTTTTCATCATTCTAAGTACTAAAAGGGAATGAATTTCTTGACTGAAATTGATTTTCCGGAAACTAAACAAATCGACAACTGAGAATTTCAGTCTACTTCAGGGAATTTCTCAAAGAATTCACAAAAACTCATTTGTATGTCGACTGGTTTTTTCGTGTTTTCATACATTTTAAAATAAACCTACATTGTAGTCGAATTTCTCTGAGTCATATAAACAAAACTTAATATATTGTTTTTTTGCATTTTAGATAGTCTAAAATTTAATTTAAATTGTATAATCTGTTTAACACGTTGACTGCTGCCTCGCGTTTACAGTGCAATCTCCTTCAGGCCACGAGTACCGCTGTACGAAGCGTATTCTGCTAATTGCCCCACCGATATTTTAATAATGCGAGGCTCTCTGGTGGTCACAAGAATAATATCTCGTTCCGTTTGTTTCTATGGTATCATGTCTGTCTATTTGTGTCGTGTCCGTTGCTTCGCATCAACTTTACACGGTCAGTTTGAATCAC